TTGTAGCAGAGATAATGGACCAATCATCAGGAAGGGGTGGAGTCATGAGGAGCCCATATGAGTTGTCAAACAGGTTTGTCTTGCTCTTCTAAATGGTTTCAACCACATTCACACACACACACTCACACTCCTCCAACAGGACAACACAGTGCGATCGCTGAGCTAAAAGCAGAAACCCAGGCGAAGTGCAGGAGCTCGTCGGGACCAGTCCAGGTGAGTTTGCTGTAGAAATGCCAAAAGCATCTTTCAAACAACAAACCTAGACCGTCATACAAGCAGACTTGGGCTTGTCGGGGTAAGACTACTGTGTAGGCCTTGAGCCAACAGAAAGTGCATGTGTTGTTTACCCTCATTTCCATGTTTCTGTGTCATTTGTCTTTGTCTTCCTGCTTCGTTTCACCTTCGATTCTCTGTAGTGGAACATGCTGGTTCTTGCCTCAGAAACTTTCAATGAGTATTTTTGTTTGCCTGACTCACCTCTTCACATTCCTCTTCACTTTGTAATACACCAGCCTGTTATCTTAAAGGGACCTCATATAAAGATACGAATGGTGACACAGAATGTTTCCCAGCTCTGTCAGCAGGAGTTTGGCCCGGCTCGGGCTGGAATGGCAAAAATGTAGAGAATGTGTCTGTTCAAGCAGTGTTTTTCAAACACATACTGGACCTTGGGTATACACACAAGTGCAGGGAGAGGCCCTGTATTTACCTAGTTCATTATTTTGACCTTCACTACAGTTAGAGGCTTTTAAATGAGCACAAAGGGGGATGGCTTAACAGATGCTGGGCTGAACCTCTTTGTTTTGATTATACTTATCCTACAGAGGCTGTAGTTCAGGAAGAAGTCGGCTACAAACCCTGGCAACCGGCTGCTTTATTTAAAGATGAGGGGTCATTGCTCAGCAAGCAGCTGTTGGTGTGTGTGTGATCTGCTTTGTGTTGCCTGCAGACAATAGCTTGTTGACAGATGTCCTAGTACGGTGTCACCGTCACCCCTCTTTCTCACACACACATTTATATTTCTGCCACTCTTTTCACAGGACGTCTATAGACTGAAAATGAAGTGTCAGTTTTATTGTGTGTCTGTCTGTGGAGAGACGGATGACTTCAAGTAACTGGTCAAATATCTGTGCTGGCAGCCAGTGGGCTTGTAGGATGGAGAAGGCTGCAGCCTTAAAGAAAGGGTTGGGGGCGCTTTGAGATTTGACTTGCTGAGTTGGCTGTGTCCTCTCTGTGTTGAAAAATAGGTGCCAGTTTTTCTTTTAAGGTAAATGTTTTAATGACTGTTTATTTAATTTCTTAATTGAGCTGTCTTTCCTTCTCTGCTGACCGATGTCTCTCTTTTCCACAGGAAACCCAAATGACGAGGATCTAGAGCTCAACTGAGATGCTCTTAAAAAATGGAAGCTGCTCATCAGACATCTACACAGAGGCACAGTTTACGGTTTCTGCAGAATAAAGGGCATTTATTTTAAAGACCTGTAAACAGAAAGTAGACAAGTGTTTAACAAAATGCCTGTGGACTCTGTCCAGCGACCAGCCAGGACTGCTGCTACACCCGCACGCTTACGGGCCAAGGGGCCAGTGGGGCCAGTGGGGCCACACTTCTATCGGCAAAGCTCGAAGGCAGAGGGCAGACCGAAGCAGAGTGCCGTGGAGAGGCTGGAAGCAGACAAGGCTAAATATGTCAAGAGCCAGGTGGCTCTTTCAAAGCAGCAGCCAATTAGGCCTCCTGAGGTTCAGAGGTCCCTCCGGAACCATAGCACCCCCCTGCAGCCCACCAGGAAGTCACCCGCCCAAACAAAAACAAAGCAGGAGGGCGTCCAGCTTGACTTGGAGCACCTAACTAACCTCATCAGTGTTGTGCATGATGGACTCCAGTCTAGTACGACTGCAGGCTCAGAGGACAGTAAAGTTCCTGACTGTGCGACCCCTGCACACAGCTCCCCTTGTCCCATACCTGCAGGGGCACAACGGAAAAAGGAGAGGTTGCCTCCCCCTGTCCGCCCTGACAGGTCTAGTTCTGCCAAGGTGAGGTTAAAAGCCTCTGGACCTGCCAAGGTGGAGAGTGCAGGCCTTCCTGGGACTCCAGCTGCAGGGACAGTACGCAGAGTGGACGTCATCCCTCAGGCCAGCCCTGTGAAGACACCCTGCAGACCACCTCTGTTCATGAGGCAGCCCCTTCAGCCCACACCATCTCATTTTCAGTTACCACTCCGCTCAACTGCTTCACACCTGCAACTTTTCCACTCCAGGACAACACTGCATTCTTCTCCTCTGAGACCTGTCGTTGCCCCCCCTAAACCTGACAACACTCCCTCCTCTCCAGCTGGAACCCCTGTCTCTGCTAAACCTGGCCCCACCCTTCCTGTTTTGCCTCCCCTCTCCCCGGCAATTACACGTCTGTCCTCCTCCAGCTCCAGGAAACGCCCGTCTCTGACCCGTTCTAAATCGGACATGAGCGACCGGTTCTCCCGAGCTGGGACCGAACTGGAGCGCTTCTTCAACCTGTGCGGTTTGGACCCAGCAGACCTGCGGGAGTTGACTGGATCTAGTTCTGACATTGTGTCCCTTGCTCGTTTTCAAAGCGTGAGCGCGCCAGGGTCTGAGTGTGCCGGCTCCGGTAGAGAAGATGAAGATGAGGAGGAGGATGCTGGCAATGCTGCAGACCGTGCTCCCTACGGTGTGTCTGTCATTGAGAGAAATGCAAGAGTGATTAAATGGCTGTATGGACTCCGTCAGGCCAAGGACAATGCAAATAAGAGCACCAACCTGTAGGATGGTGCTAAATGGTCTATAAGCTGTAAAACAAAAGTCAAGATTTCAACATGTCACAGTTACAGAACACATGAGGTGATGGGATCCCGTGTTTAAATTTGAAGTAAACTGAGGTATGTGAAGGATGTAAACTGCCTGACAAGTAGCTCATGCTGATTTGGTTGTTCTTTGTTCTGATTGGGGTTTTTTGTTTTGTTTTTATTTGACAAAATTTGAAATTTGGTGATTTACATTTTGTTGCTGAGAAAAAGTCTTAAATTTTTGTGTTATTTTGACTTTTCAAATATGTTTGAATTTCACAACTTTACAATTGTAGCTGTGGTCAACAAACCACATTCTGCTGTAAATGGACAGCATTAAAAACTAAATGATGTAAGCATCTCGTTTCGAATCTCTCTTGATGTATTTTAACGTTTCACACCAAAAATAGCAGTTGATGCTGACACACTGATTACTGACAGCCAAATGAAAAATGTTTCCCTTTTCTGGTGCTTCATGACCTCTGTGAACTCATTAAGTTACTGAAGTGTTGTGTTTATTAAGTAGGTGAGCAATGTGTGATCTAGTTAGTTGGATCCTACCAGTAGAGCCAGTGGGAGGCGTTGTAAAAGGGCCACAAAGTGCAAAGCTGAGCACCAGTCGAAACGTGGCTTAGCAGCACCTTTGGTGAAGTCACCTAGGGCGGTGCTACTTTGTCACCAGAGCAAAGAAGGGCTGAAAGTGAAACCTCAATGAGATCATACTAGAGCAATACTAAAATATACACAGTTCAAATTTATAATGTATTTTATCTCAGAGGTAAACAAAGACAGCATCTGTCTGTCTGTCGCACAGTGGGGATGTTCTTTTCTTTACAGTAAAAGTTTCATTTTTTTCTGTGAACATATTGAAGAAGTGATGCAAAATGCTGTCATTTAATTTCACCTGTCCAAAGTATTTTCTCTCTGAAGCACAAAGAATTGTCAGCATGCATTTTAACAAACTCCACTCAGTGTTTGTGTTTCTCTTTCCAAAGCAGGCTCTTCCTGGGCCTGGACACATTTGGGTGTCAGTTTGTGTCTGTTTTGAAGTTTTCCTTGGTTCTTTTTCACCATTCAAACTCTCTTCCTGTTCAATTCAGGCTCGGTTTTCTTCTTGCAGCTACGTCCAGGGAGGCCGACTACACTCCCACGGACAGTAAACCTCTTATTAGCAGCTGTGGTCACGGGAACATGAAGCTGTGTGGAGCTGATCTTACAGCTGTTACCTTGACTATGCTAGGCAGTTATTTTCTAATAATACCTAGCTCCTCAGACAACTCTCTTCATTTCATCCTCTTATCCAGTGAAACCTGCGATACTAGCTGAAGACAACAGTCTGTTTTTGTAGAATAAATAAGACTTCCACTCTTTTCATCGCTTCTTTGTTTTACTCAGGAGCAAACCAAAGACATGAAAGTGAAACTAGCTCTAACTCCTTTGGGGAAGAACAGAGCATTGTTTCAGTGAGGTGTAAGGGTACTAACAGTTTTAGTCACGCCTGTATAAGAAGGTGGACTAAATGTGAGTATCTCACTTTCAAATCCAAAGAAGTTGTTCAACCAGATTTGTCAAACAACTGGGAATTTGAGTATAACTGTGTGTGTGTATGGAAAGAGCTATTGTTGTCTGCTACCCTCAGTGGAAGGCTGCAAAAGACGCATGTCGTGCTACTCTTCCTAACTTCAAACAATGAGTTGTTGTAAGGATATTACAAACCAAGTACAGACATTGAAGAATAAGTTGTTAAAACAGACTGCGGATAGAAACTCATGCAGCGAAGGTCAGCGTCAGAGGGTAAGTTTTCATAATTACATTATTCTCTTTTCCTTTTCATTAGGGCAGATTGGAGGAAGCAGCTTGCTCCTGAGGAGTCCAGTGATCAAATATGATTTAACATGACTACTGAGCTTCCTCAACTTCTGGCATGTTCAACTTTGTTGTGATAACCAACATTGCTTGTAATTTACATCTAATTCACATTGTCTATTGTTAGACTACTGATATTTTCAGATTTCTTTGGTTTGGAAACACTTCCAAAAGTAGTCCCTTCATGGATTTTCCTGCTTTACATTCACACAACCATTCAATAAATCTGGTTTTCCTGGCATTTCACCCATTTTTGACAAACAGCAAGAAACTATCCTGCTGTGAATCTTTTTATGTTCTTAATAATTATAATGTTAAAGGTTTTGTTGGTGTCTCTCTGTGTTTTCTCACGGTAAATTTCTGGCTGGCAGATGTGCATCAAGACAAAAACTGGATAAACAGAAATCGACTAAATGTTTGAACTGGTGTTTCGGTAATTACCATAGAAAGCAAACTTCCTTCATCTATTTTCTCTGGGCTTCACAGGGGTCAGGGGGCATTCGTCTGGCTAGGAAGATGTGTTACGCTGTGGGCGGGGTCCCGCATCAGATCACAACTCTAGCTGTCGGTGTTTCCCTGCAGATTTTTCTTCTGGATGTTGTGCAGGTAAAAGTTTGTGTTGTCCTCACAAACAGTGGTTCTGTACTCTGATACCAAATTTACTTTTCTGAATTTCAAAATAAAGTATTTCAGTATTTCACAGATGGAGGCCTCCTATGTTTCCATGATTTTATTTGCGAGTCAGGCCTGGGATGCTGTGACTGACCCTCTGGTTGGATATCTGGTGAGCCGCAGTAAATGGACACCCATCGGCAAACTCACTCCCTGGTCGGTTGGCGAAGCATGTTTAACGCACTTCATCAGGAATTAAGCTATGATTCATTCTCCAGTGCTGTACTGACCACAGTCATCAATGTTTATCTTCACAGGCTGATTCTCTCCACACCCTTTGGTGTCCTGTCCTATGTGCTGCTGTGGTTAGAGCCACCAGGCTCCACGTCTCAGGCTCTCAACGTGTTGTGGTTCCTCACATCAGCCTGCCTGTTCGAGACCCTCATGAGTGTAAGCCATTGGCACTCTGCACTTCTGCACTACAATGGCTACAGCACAAAGACAAAGTTATCCAATATCTTACCCCCCAAAAGAAAACAAAAATAAAAAAAGACTAGGATGTGTGTGTGTCAGAACTGGCCTAAACTACCAAACTCTAGAGTCAGTAGCTAGAAACTAGCTCCATTTCTAACAGGTACAACAATAAAATATTAACTATGTAAAATGGAATCTGTCACAAAGAAGAAGTGTTTTTAACTTCTGTTTGTTTACCTAAATTTTTAATACAAGAATTTTATTTAGAATGGAGTGTTTTCATATTGTTGGACTGGTTTTGAGTACTTCTTTCATCAGTTAATCTCTTTTCTCTATCTTTCTCATGTCACCATGGTGACAAAGCTTCATGCTATTTTCATGTCACTCTTGTTGCTGCCTTTTCGCTCTGAGCTGCATCGCCATGGTTACTGAGTTTAACACCATCGTGTTGTCAATTGGTGTCATGTCTGTTCCTGTCATCCATAAAGTGTTACAACATCCCCTACCTCTCCCTCAACATGTTCCTGGGGGGCGATCAGAGGGACAGAGACTCTGCCACAGCCTACAGTAAGAGTCACACAAAACTCGCTCACATCTCAGATCCTTTAAACAAAACGGTGACCAGGGTTTCCCTCTGCTTTTCTGTGTCTCTGTCCAGGAAAGATTGTGGAGATGGTAGCGATGCTGTTGGCTTCGCTAATTCAGGGACAAGTTGTAGCTGTGTACAACACAGAAAAGCAGGAGGCCTGTCAACAGCTGGACCAGGCTCATGAAACAACCCCAAGCTCTTCTTCACCACAGACTGCATCACTTCACAAAACGGTAGATTTTGTGCCTAAAAGTGGTCACTCTGCCTGAGATAACACTCATATTTCTTTACCAGCCAAGCACTACTGCTTTGGCATTGTACTCACATAGTCCCAGGGATATCTTGTTACCCTGTAATTTACTGTTCTTAGCTTGGCGTGGTTTGTGTTGGTTTGTGTTGGTTTGTGTGTGGGCTCTCAGGCTTGTGTTGTTAGTTATTACTTAACAACATAGAGTTGGGGACCAACATCAGATTGACTGGAATTAGATGTGTGTGTTTTTTAAACAAACAATTACAGGTAACTTAACTAGATAAGTAATCATGGACTGAGGGGAATAGTTTGGCATTTTATGAAACATACACTCTCTTTCCAAGAGTTAGATGAAAAAGCAACACATTCATATCTGTCCATTACAATTAACAATGGAGACAGGGGCCGTTAGCTTAGCCTAGCATGAAAACTAGAACCAGAAAGAAACTGTGGAGGGATTGCTGAATGCACCCATTAGGGACATGCTCAGCAGCCCAAGGAGTCAGGAGACCTCAGAGTGTTTGCTTGAAGTGGCTCTTACCATTTTTTGCTGGACAGTCAAACAAATCCCTTTACAGGTGCTCTCCGGACAGACCAGGCACCCTGCTTCCCCAGGCTCACCCTATGTGCTAAGCTAACAGATAGAGTGGCATCAGTCTTCTTATCCACTGTTCATTTCCCAAAACTATTCCATTAAGTTGAAATGATCATTATTAATCATGAGATTGTTGATAATAGTGTTATGATAATAGTAGAATAAGTGCACATAATCCCAAATGTGCCAGGATTACATACAAAGTGAATAACACAAATTCTAAGCAGCAAGGACATTGTTGTAGATGTGTTCTATTTCTCTGTAAAGGATTGATGTGTGTATTGTTTCTTCAGCAAAGGGCCTTCTTGACCTCAGCCATGGTTATGGCTGCCCTTTATTTCCTCTGCAGCTTGGTTCTGTTCCTTGGGGTGAAGGAGCAGCAGGGTGAGTCATAAGTGGCCAACAATCAATTTTCTAGTAACAAAAAATAGCCTATGTGGTTTAATTGCTTGGAGTAGATGGATCATCAGACTATTTTCCAGTTCAGCAGTATCAGGTACCATAGCAACCAGAGAAATGCATCTGTTTTAAGAAAAATGTTCTAAGGACTTGCAAGAAAATTAAGATGAAAGCTGATGAGACCCTTGTAGACCGTTATTAGACCGTTATGCTGAAGTCTGAACTGTGAGTAGTTCTGGTATTTTGCATCCCCTTCTTGACATCTCATTTTGGTTTTACTTTCAGCCCCTCTGAGCTCTGCTGACAAAGTACAACTGTCCTATCTGACCTCTCTGAAGATGCTGATATGCCACGTTCCTTACCAGCGACTGGTGCTCGGCTTTGTGTTTAGTGCTTTTGCATTTCAGGTGCAGTTTGAGCTCATAGTGGCTTCTCTGTCGGTCTGGTTAGATAATAGCCCTAATCATTTCTGTATATTTGCAGCTGTCTTTTTGCATTCTGAAATGTGTTTAATGTTTTTTAAAGTGCATATAAAAATATATATTTCTAATTTTTTGTTTCCTATCTGTTTTATCTCAGATGTCATTGGGTAATTTTGCACTTTTTTGCAGTCATGCAGCTGGGCTAGGAACCCAGTTCCAGCACCTCCTGCTGGTTCTACTGGTAAGACACATCTAACAAGGACCACACTGCTCTGTACTTCAACATAGCCTTCTGAGGATTATCTTTCAGCATACCCTTGCTATGCTGAATTTCAAATGAAATGGTCTCAATATTTCCAAAGGTGTCTTCCTCAGTAGCAGTTCCTGTGTGGCAAGCAGTTCTTCTCAGAAAAGGAAAAAAGGCCACAGTTTTCATTGGACTGTCGGTAGGAAATCATAGCGTTCTGTAGCCACAATGATCTGATTTTCACAACTTCAGGCATTTTCTTACTTGTGTGGCCTGTTTGTGTCTCTCAGCTCTTCATCCCGGCAGTGACTGTAGTTGCCTGTGTTCCCAGTAACCTACCAGTCTTCATGACTATGTGCGTTCTGATGGGTTTCAGCATGGCGACCATCATTTTGCTACCCTGGTGAGTAAGTCGCTAGGACGCACAGTTCCCAGTCCTGTCCAAGACGCATAAGACATGTAAGATCGCATCGGTATCAGAGGTGAATGCAGTGCACATGAATCATCCATATGGCCTCTACCTGACCCTGGCCAGTGATGAATATTCTAGCAAAAACCTGTTTTGTTGACTGCTAAGTTCTCCTCAGCTAAACTGACGTGGTTTTGACACGTGATATGGCTGCTTGTGCACTAGATGCTACAGACATGGATGAGACACTGAATGGGTTTGGTGGGTGCATGCCCAGGAGCCAAAGATGTCAGGGGGCCCATTGACCACAGCCTCTGTTTGAAGTGGCATTTCTCTTTCAATCAAACCACTACAAAGAAACACAAAGTGACAACTTGAAAAAGACAAAAGGACCACAAAGTTCTTTTACCTAAGGAAAAATTTGAATACAGGGCTTTTACTTGTAACAACAACTTACTGTGGCATATGTAGCTCTCTGTCACTTTTGGCTGTTCTTGTTAGGGGTCGCCACAAAGAATATCACACTGATGATTCGCATGTTGAAACATGGCACGTTTTACACTGGATGCCCTTCCTGACGCAACCCTGAATCGAACCCGGGCTGCAGTGGCGAGAGCACTGAATCCTAGCCGCTAGTCCATCAGGGACCCTACTGTGACATACTGTATGTAGCTACTTAACCTTTATTTTTTCAGGGTAGATTCACTGAGAGGCCATGATTCTTTTTAGGAACACACTGTTCCCACTCACACAGTTACATAGTCATACTTGTCCTTATCCTACCCATGACCTTTTGGTCACAAGCTCACTTCTCTAACCTTTAGGACACCACTGCCCCATACTTCTACTAGAGGGGTAGGGTTGGTGATTTTCTCTTTTTTGATATTTTCAAACGTCCCATTCAGAGATAAACACACCAGTGAGCGTCGGCGATCTTTCCTCCTCATAAAAAATGTGAGGGGTTCATCTTTTTCCTAGTAAGAACTCCAAAGAACAGCCTATAGTCTATGAGGTAAGATAGTCAACTGTGCATCAGATCACATCCACCCACAGTCGACTCTTCCTTACTTCAGAGACTTTAAAAACTATTATTCTTAGCCTTTGCTGGTATTTGTTTCTCTATAGGGTGCTTTGACAATAACATAGACAGAAAGTCACAGACATTATCCTTAATCTGAGTACTTCTTCCAGCGCTGGATGTGCAAAACCTTAGTAGTTGAAGGAGATGCAACACAATCACAAAAAGACATATTTTGTGTCTCTTTCAATCTGAGTTTCAGTCCTTTGTAGGAGGGCGGGGGCCTTTTACACATCTGTGCCTCATAGTCCGTCTATTGTTACAGGTCTATGCTTCCAGATGTGGTGGACGACTTTGCCTTGAGACATCCCTCCTGCCAGGACCTGGAGCCTCTGTTCTTCTCCTGTTACGCCTTCTGCAGTAAGCTGGCGGCAGGCCTGTCTATTGGAATCTCAACCATGACGCTGCAGTGAGTCAGTCTTCACTCTACTCACTATACTGTATGTGTTATGTGTGTACATCTGTTGGTCTGTCACATTATGATTTTCTTCTTCTCTGCAGGTTTGTGGGCTACAAAGCGGGTGCATGTAACCATGGAGACGGAGTAGTGATGGCTCTGACGGTGCTGTTCTCGCCAGTTTCCGTCGCACTTCTGCTGATAGGGATGATCTTCTTTTGCTTCTACCCGATTGATGAGAGGCAGTGTGTGCAGCCCCCTGAACAAAAGACCACAGTCCAGTGAGTGGCTCCTTTGGCAGATTAGCCTGTCAAGAGGTAAAATGGCAAAAGGCCGCCATGACAGCTGTAAAGCAGCTACTGCATAGTGAACACGTTTGTAATCGTAATCACAGTCGTTGTGATGAACTTACAGAGAATTATGACCTGAATCCGAGGATTGATACCAATCTGCCATTCAGTGGTGAAAAGTAACCAAGTACATTTACTCAAGTACAATTTTGAGCTATCTGTACTTTACTTGAGTATTTTCATTTTGTGTCACACACTACATTTTAGAAGCAAATACTTTATTTTTTATTCCACTACTTTTATTTTAGAACTTTAGTTACTAGTTACTTTTCAGAACCAGAGTAATACAAATATAACAGTATAATCATGAGGCCTTACTGATCTTTGGTGGAAAAGTCAAACGATACCCAGCAGTAATTCAAATTAAAAGTATATAAGGTAGTTTAAACTAGCTCCTCCTTTGTCCGCTGCATCATTAAATATGATGGACACAATAATGCACCAGTAATTATAATCCAATAATATGATGTATATTAATGTGAAATGTGCCATTTTGCATAATGGGTACTTTTGCCTTTAATACTTTAAGTATGTTTTGATGCTAATACTTTTGTACTTTTACTTAAGTAAGGGATCTGAGTACTTCTTCCACCACTGTTGCTATTTTCAAGAAGAACCAATCATCTTATTATTGGCAAGAAAACAAACTATTCCTTAAACTGTTTCGAGGAGTAGTTCAAACCATGACCAGGTTAAATGAAGACAAGCTAGAATAGCTGCACAAGACTCACTCTTTCTCACTCATTCATGATTAAGAATACTTGTCTCTAGGGACATTTAAAACCATATTTCTCTGAAAAATCTTTTCAAAATCTGTACCAACCCGGTTAAATTAAGTTTATAGTAACACACATGTATATTTTGGTCCTATGGCAATTATAATAATTTTTATTTTTGGTTTTGTTCTTTATCTAGCTTAAACGTGACATCATCATCATCGTCATCATCATCATCATCATCATCATCAGACATAAGGGGAAACTCTGAGCAGCCAACAATTCTTCAGCACCCCCACGCTGATGCTGGTGTGACATTAACTTTACACTATAACACTAAGGTCAACACATACAAGGCAAACCTTTCCTCGTGTTGTCACAGTCTTGATAAAAAATACTCTGTGAAGTCATCTGCTCCTTCTCATGTCAAAAAATCAAAGAACCTTTCTGGAGGACGCAGCAGGCCTATACGAGTGGTTCAGTCTAATGTGAGCCCTCAGTGGCGTGAGCAGAGACTGAGCCCTCAGCTGCATTCAGGGCAAGTTACATTGGCCAGAAGCTTTCCTGAGACTGAGCGTGTGTCCAAAGTGAGATCCAAAGTGTCCTGGGTATAGTGAGATACCTTAAAGAAATAGTTTGATGTTTGTTACAGAAAGCTTGATGAAAACATTGATACCATTCTCATGTTTGTATGGTAAATATGAAGCAGCAGGTACTGATCAACACATTATACAGTGTTTGCATGCAAACAACTCAAGAAAGCTGCACAAAAACAATTAAAAAAAATTACACATTCAAAACAGATATATGTAATGGTGTCTTACTTATCCTAAGCATTTATATATTTCAGAATAATATTTTAATACTAATCAGATAATTAGTATTGATATGATTAGACATTTGTTTTTATAGTGGTATCTAAAATGTTTATTTTGAACTTTTGCTGTCCTTATGGAGGTTATGGTGGTTTCTAAATTTTAAGTTGCTTTATCTTATTGTGAGTGTTTACCCCACATGCTTGTAAGTTGCCTTAAGAACTTGATGTTTAATACTGTGCTTATAAATATTTTTGTGTTTACATTCCTCCATCCATTATCTGAGAACCAGGGTCCACCCTGCACAGGTCACCAGTCTATCACAGGGCTGACAGAGATAAACAACCACACACAATCACTCCTACAGGCAATTTAGAGTCACCAGTCAACCTAAGCTGCATGTCTTTGGACTGTGGGAGGAAGCCGTAGCACCCGGAGAGAACCCACGCAGGCACAGGGATAACATGCAAACTCCACACAGAAAGGCACCGGGTCGGGGCTCAAACCCAGAACCTCCTTGCTGTGAGGCAACAGTGCTAACCACTGCTCCATCATGCCGCCATGCTTATTCATACTTGCTAAAAAAAAAAAAGCTTTTGTCAGTAGTCATTCATCGTTACAGTATGATCATGAAGCAAGAAGCAAGTGTCTAAAAATACTAGCAGCCTGATGAATATACCATGAAAATAACAGGCCCATAGAGGTGCTTGATAACCTACATTACATGCACAAGGATGCATTAAGAGTTCTCACCTTCAGGTGGTTGTTTTGCCTCTGTGGGTATTTTATACTTCTCTCTCTGATTGTCTTGTAACTCTTTGTAGTCATTTACAGCACATCCCTGTGCAGTTTTATAATCATTTTGAGCATCTTTTTAGTCATTTACAGCTGCTCTGTGTCTATTCGTGGAGATGTTGGTATGAAGACCTTGACAAAGTTATCCATTTACGTTTTAGTTTGTTATGTTAGCCTGTGTTAGTCAGGATGTCGCATACTTTAGAAAACGTTTCGATTCCGGGTAACATACGGTCTATATGTTTTATAACAATACCTCCATAAGCAACTGGACGGTTTTCCCCATCTATGTCCACCCACTCGTCAACAGGCCGCCCCCTCCCGAGTCCTGCTTCCGCTCGTACTGTAGGGTGGTCGACTGAAGAGCGAAAATGGGAGTAGAAATTGAGACCATAACTCCGGGTGACGGTGGGAACATCTGGCCTTGTTTTGTAGCGATATACAGTATTTCATTTACAATGTGTTTGGTTATTACACTCTCTCTGTGTGTTTTCTGCTGTTTTAAGGACGGACATTTCCGAAGAAGGGGCAGCGAGTCGTGGTGCACTATGTCGGTGAGTGAGCGGGGAGGCTGGAGTAGTGTCGAGGCTGTTGAGCGGAGACTTGAACGCTAACTACACGAATCCCGTTATCGCCGTTTATTAGGGGTATGGACGCCCATTGTTGGCGTTACACGGGGGACCAAGTAGATATTAGTTTGTTTCAGCTAACAGCGGCTGGTTGTGCTTTTGGTTAGTAGCGTTCAATGCCCTGTTAAACTGCCAGTGTCTGTTCGGCTAACATCAGCTAATGTGTAGTTAAAGCCGAACATTCGGACGCTGCTTCGTATCACTTACCCCCTAATGTAAACGTACGTGTGTTATCATTAATGGAGGCGTTTTAGAAGGACGTATTAACAGTCGTGCTAGTGTTACCGTAGCTGCTGTCAGCCAAGCTATCCCCGGTGTTCCGGCCCCATGATGCTAACCGACTAGCATTAGCTCTTGGCTCTCGGCTCCCGTTAGAGGGCTGCTTGGCACAGACTGCGGCCAAAAGCACCCAAAGCAAAACACGCCAAGTACAGTACTGAGGTACAGCACCGAGGGCACATGCACCGTGTTATCGTAACTTTTATTTACTTTCATCTATTCTACATATCAGACAGGTGTTGTTTTAACGATGCTCACTTTTTATATTAAGATTTTACAAATACAGTACAGCACTGAGGGCACATGCACTGTGTTATCGTAACTTTTATTTACTTTAATCTATTCTACATATCAGACAGGTGTTGTTTTAACGATGCTCACTTTTTATATTAAGATTTTACAAATACACATGCACGCGCGTGTGTATAGGCCTATGAAAAATTAGTGTAGCTGTGCAACCTCTTTATTTTAGAGCTGATCACTTGATTCGATTATTTCCATTCACAAAGAATAGATTCATTTCATTTGTCCTTGATGATTCGGTTACATTAGATAAATACGACGGTGGCTTAAAGCGCTGACCGTAATTTATTATCTTATCCTGGGAACAGGTTTCTACATTTTATATAAAGTTGTGCTATGTACACACTATAGGCTAAATTAAACACCGTGTTATAAAACTGTGGACCAAGGATTTATTTTACTTGGGAAATGCAAAATGATGATGCCTAATATAAATGCTTTCCACAAACACAAAGCCAAGTGTGGAGCCTTTTTCAGTGTGTCCTCTTACATGTGGTCTCTAGATTCAGTATGAGATGTTCAAAGTCAGTTACCCATCCTGAGTCATAGTATTCCTGTAAACCGCGGCTGGTCCTCACAGTTTGAGACAGTTGTGACTCATGGCAGCTAATATTGCACAAACATTTGGCCCGCATATACATGTTTACTTAGAAAGGAATCATCCAAACATAAATGGTTTAATTGGAATCTACCTATTCAGCCCTGCTTGACACGGGTTTTTGGATATCTGCTTACGAGCTCCACCAAAGTGGAAGTTCTCAGATGGCTTCCTTGCGATTACTCTTCATAGCAGAGGGAGCAAGAGACTATTTCACAAAAATAAAAGTCCAAAAACCTAAAACACATTTGTGTATCAGAATCTCCCACAATCCCTCAGATTTATCTTGTGACCCTTTGGAGGTGCACAACCACTATGTTGTGAACCACTAGTAGCTCCAACCAGCGTCACCTTGGGCAGCTACATCAGTTAAATGGCGTGGAGTACTTTTACACAGTGTTATTTAAACGTCTCTTATACCACTGGACATAGAAAAGTGGGACTCAGCAACCCAAGCTATTTGTTGAGTGATGTACTGTAAGAGCCATAAGCAGCTTTTCCCCCCTTCTGGTTTTTCACAGGAACTCTGGCAGACGGGAAAGTGTTTGACTCCTCGAGGTCCCGGGGGAAGCCGTTCAAATTCAAGATTGGACACCAGGAGGTTATCCGTGGTTGGGAAGAAGGAGTAGCCCAGGTCAGGGGGAGCTTTTTCCTTTCAAAACGTTACTCTCAGTTGCTTATTAGTGGACATACACATCCAGCTGCGATGCAGTCTACAGCCTAAATGCACGTTCACATTACGCTACAGTGCTAGTATTGCTGGCAGTAGATCACTACATTTTAGAGGCTCAAACTGTGTTTTTTTTTAAACAGTCTTGGTAGCCGCATTCACGTGCTGATGTTATTACAGTGAGGAAATTCAGAAGCGTTGGTTAGATACTGCAACCTGAGATTCTATGAGTATAGGTGCAGCCAGGGTGAAACGAAACACAAGCAGGCTGACTAGTTAGTTAAAGCAGTGGTCAACACAGTGATTGGCCATGCACACAAAGGTCAGCACAGCCGGGGTCAGAGGTCAACACAGTGATTGGCCGTGCGCACAAAGGTCAGCACAGCCGGGGTCAGAGCTCAACAAATTTGAACTTACAGCGCCTTCACAGCGCAACACATCCACAGCAATGGTGAGACACGTACAAAAGTCGTTTTTCCATAATAATGTGAACGTACCATAATAGCAACATGAAGGCGATAATGTTCAGGTTTTATTCCAGAGAGGTGTTTGTTCATGATCATTGTTGAAGCTGTAGTTTGTGTTGCTACTCTTTCTCTTATTTAGTCTCTCCTCATTATGTAAATGGGGTGGACAAAATAACAGAAACAGCCTGTCAGTGTAACACAGTACAGTTCCTCTGAAATAACCAGTTGAATCAACACCTGTCTGAAACAGCCTGAACTTTATCAGCTCCATGAATAGAGGGTTGTTTGCAGGACTGTAGGATTAGACTGAATCAGATTTAGCCTGGTGTAACTGGGTGCATTAGAACTTCAGTGACAGATCAGTTAGTTGATGGACAGAGAATTCATCAACAGTTACATAATAGTTAACCAAATATCTTTTGGTTTTGGGTTGTCAGACAAAACCAGACATCTGAAGATGTCTCAGTGCAGTGTGGGAAATTATAACAAAACTTTTATCAGTTTTCTGACATTTTGTGGACAAGGTTATTGACAGAGTAATCAATAATGAAAATAAATGGTTGTGTGTCCTGTTTAATAGTGACAGCAGTATAAGTAACCTGTCGATCTCCTCCACAGATGAGTGTAGGTCAGCGGGCGAAGCTGATTTGCTCACCAGACTTTGCCTATGGCAGTAAAGGGCACCCAGGGATCATCCCACCAAACGCCACTCTCACCTTCGATGTGGAGCTGCTTGGTCTGGAAGCCTGAAACCTGTGCACTCACTTAAATTCCACTCAAATTTTCAGGGTAAGAAGTCTTTATGATTGGAATAATTAGCATATGTATGTGCATCATATATAGAGAGAGGACGGGGTAGTTATGTTGCTCTAAAGTGCGAGCGATGGCTGGGCAGTGGTAGGAATCACCCCAACCATAAAGCCTTGCCAACATCATGCACACATTTAAGCGTTACACATGTACAATCTATACATTTAGTCTTTGTAATTTATCCAGTGATGTTTAGAGATTAAATGAACAGTATCTGGCCTCCTCCCTGATCACAGCACTAAGACCCTTCTTGTTTTCACTGCAGGTTGACTCCTATCTCGGGAACATGGAGGAAAATGTTATCAGATGATTCCTGCTCGAGTCCTGCATAGGACCTATGTCTATAGCTTCAATAGTTCACTCTCCTTTCCATTTAGATACAAATTATGTTGTCACTTGCTTTAAAACTTTATCCTTCATACTATACTTTAGATTCCACACAGTAATAAGTCATAGGCCATCTCATCCCACGTGTTTTGTCATATTCTGCTGTGTCTTTTTATGGTGACACTTCTCTGTTTTAGTTTGTTTGCATTTTGTTTTCGTTTTTTTTTTTTTTTACCTACAATTTACAAAATGTGTCTGCTATCAGGACCAGGTTTTAGGTAAGTGTCATTAGTATTCACTCTCGTTCCTGTGGCTCCATGGTCCTTTACACTAAAATTGTATTGACTGCAGGTAATGAGTCGTCTTGAATAAACTGTTGTTTGACACAATGGTATTTCTATGAATTACCTTTGAGATACTTGCTATTGGGAGAAATTAGAAAAGGTATGGAATACAATGTAACCAGGGATTCATTAATCAAGCACATTATTGCCATGAACAGCCTACAGGTCTCTGCAGATGTAGGATTGTCTTTGTCCACACTGCAGCATCAATTCTTAATTTATGTGTAAAATGACTTTATGATGTTCACAACTGGACATTATTTGTCTCGTTGGTTGTATAAAAATTTTTTAGCCTAGAGAAGGTCTTGGGGGGGAAATATTTGGTAAAAGGTCTAAAGTTGCATGGTAAGTTCCCCCACACAGATCTGTAGGCACATCTTGGGGTTTGTGACTCTATGTGAAGGAGTTGTGTGTAACAAGCTGTGGATGTTGTAAAAGGTCTGTTCCTTGCTCAAACACATTAAAAGAGTAATTTTAACACAAACTGCTATTTTTTCCTTTTTTGGGTGACTGTCACTCTTTACCTACATCCATGAATAGTTAATGGAATTATGTTGAACTATGCACACTATAATACAATAAAACAAGCATGTTTTATTTTCTGTGAAGAAACATTTCATGGTATTTTGCAATATTATTGCTTGTGCAGTTAAAGTACAGTTAATGTGCTTCATTGGATTATGCTTGTAAAGAACAGGCTGACTTGAAGTCTAGTTTTGTCATTTTGAGTCCAGGCTATGCAATAAGAAGTATGTTAACACATAAGTGACACATTAATCAGAAGCAAATGCATAAGCACATCCTTAGACATAAAGAAAAGGTAGTTGCTGTGGAACTAAAGTTTAACAAAGCGAAAATAGAAATTCAAACTCTAGACTTTGTGCCCTCTAACCAGAAACAAATAGTTTAAACAAAATAACTTAAAATTTCCTCCATCTTACTATTGCTTTGTCCTGATGCGACAAGGGTGTGATTACTGCTAAATGCAGTCCTGGGGCCCCCTGGGCCAGACCCTCACTATGATAAACAGTCTTATACTTGTATAGCACTTTTCTATGCGTTGCATCACATTCAAAGTGCTTTCACACTACTTGCCCATTGCTACTTGCAGTCTCATGTGCCTTCAACAGCCATCATCCATCCATCCTCTATACCACTTAGAACAGGGCAGAGTCTTTGGAAGGAAGCTGGAGTACCCAGAGAACCAATGCAGGCACAGGGAGAACATGCAAACTCTGCACAGAAATGCCCCAGGTTGGCCTGGGCTCAAACCCTGCGAGTTGACAGCGCTAACCACCGCTCCGCTGTGCTGCCCTCTATAGTTATCACCACTGACCAAATCTCTGCTCTCCTTGATTACTTTTTCCCTATGAATTTGTACAAACAGTTCTTCATCCACCTTGAGTCCTTCATTGCCCTTTGTTGCATAATAAGGCTGAAACTGGTAACCACACATACTGTACATTAAACCTAGTTGGTCATGACAGATGAGCTATTTCAGTCAACACGCTTGTAAGATGGGTATTCACATTTATGATACATTCTGTACATCATTATTATAGAGTGCTATGAAAGCAACCGACACTCATGCAAAGAACTTGGAGTGTAAATCTTTACCTGCAACTGTGCAAAGATCTTTTTACATTATAAAATCAGAAAATATACTGTATCAAAAACTGTTCTTCCTTCACAGATTCATTGAACAGAACAGCTCATTCAGGTTCATCCATTCATACAGAAGTGTGGACCACAAACTGCTCTTTGTTAATCTTAAAGAACTGTTTCTCCTTATCTCCTATAGCCATTGTAGAAATATCTGACTTAGCTACACAACCAGACACGGCCTATCAGGACTGGAGCATGATGCCAGGTTACTGCTGACGTCCTGCTTGCACACCAAGGCCTACGCTGTGATGTCCTGCTAAAAGCCAAGCTGCTGCCTTCATAGAGTTTTCTTTATTTTCAGGTAACTAGTACATTGCAGCTAAAAAATAAAATGGAATGTTGGTGTTTTGGCCCATGCACTTTTAAACCATGGTCCATGTTTATTTTATTTTGTTTTAGATCTATGATCTGCCTATTCTGCACCGGAATACCAGAGTTGATGCACATGCTCTACCCTTCAGAAGATGAAAGTACCAGGAGGTTTAAAACATTCAATATTTTTATGTGAGGAAATAGCTGAAGTGCCTTCTCCCACCTACGCACACTGTCCTCTTAACAACTTAGATAAGTACTGACTATTTTATATTTCTGATGCTGTGGGACCTTGTTCATGTTAAATAAATGTCCCTCATCATTTTGTAAAACATGATGATTTTGTTTGACAACTTTTTTGGATAAAACAAACTGCACATTTTTGCCCCAAAGCTTGGTCATATAAATCCAAGTACGGGCTTTTTAATTTTAGCAAGAGGGCCCAACTAATCTGTGGGTTACATGCAAACTACGATCTAGAGAAAAGCACTTAAACTGCAGGCAGTAGCAGAAAGTATAGGCAAGTAATTAAAGTATTTAATAATGTACAACTAATTCTTTGTTCTCTAAGGCAAGATGACCAGAAAATCACAAAAAAAAAAAACCTAGCAGGAGATATCATAAGCTTGGCAATGACCAAAATGTAAGAAAGCAAAGTCAGCAGTGTCTGCAGAGGTTAGAGCTGTATTCTCTCCGTCTCTGAGACTGGGGTCGTTCCATTCATGCTGGTGGGCCGGCGTCCCCTCCCTGCTCCCTGGCGGCGAAGCGAGTGGAGGGCCACAGCACAGCAGCCTCTCAGCAGGGACCCGAGATGATATACAGGCAAGACTTCCTGTGCCGCCCCTCGACACCACCACGCCACGGTTGGGACCACTGGCATTGCCAAAGCTAAAAGATCGATGAGGAAGTACCTGCTCCAGTGGCAGAGCTGAGAGGAGTACCCATCTTCATTTGCTCCTTCACTTTCCTCCTTATTGTCTTCGTCCATCTCCAGCACCACAGCTTCCTGTCTGACTGGAAGTGGAGCTCTAGAATGAGGCTGGCAGGTGTGGGGCTCAACTGGCATCTGTGTTACCTCCTCTGGTTTGTCCAGTGGTAGCGGCTCAACTCTGTATGAATTCTCAGAAGGGGACACAGGAGGTAAAGATGATCGAAACAGATGTGGTTCTGAGGGGGTGATGTCTGCTGTGGCTAAAGAAATGACACTCAGCTCTTGGGTGCAGTTTTCCTCACACAGCCAGTTCATGGTCGGGCTGCAGGCCTGGGAGCGAACCTCTGGCTTCTTCTCTGCAGCAGAAGAAGGAGTGGGAATAGGATTAGTGACAGGAGAAGCAGGAGTCACTGCTGTTACCGGTGCCTCCTCCTGAGGTAAGTGCAAAAACAAGTGATGGTGGGGGAGGTAGGTGTGTCCACTGCACCTGCAGCTGCTGCTGAGAGTGTGGCAGGAATGTGAGATTGGCAGTACAGCCCCCCCACTGCACAGCCTTTCATAGGTCGAAGAGCGTGGCACAGGTGGGGGGCCCCAGATGTGGCCCTGTGGTGGCAACTGCTCTGATAGGAGGGCTGCCTCCAGGAGCAGGTGGGTTCTGCTGGGGTCATGCAGGTGTCCTGCTGGGCGAGATGCTCCACCTGCCTCAGGAGCATTTGAGCTGCTCTCCAGCTGCAGAGCATCGTGGCTCAGTCGGGTGTAGGTGGCGCTGCGGCTCAAAGTGCTGGCTGGGGAACAGCCACAGGAGCGAGACTTCCTCCCTGGTCGAGTTCCCTGCAACCCTGAGTACGGTTTGTGGTCTTGGGGGTCTTGTTCATGAATACCAAGGTTGGACTTTACTGACTCTACGACCTCCTGGAGGTGCTGGATTTCCTTGCGCGCCTCTTTCAGGGCCAACTGGGCCTCCACACGGTGGCATTCCTCTTCTATCCAGTCCTCTTGCATCCTGTACAGCTGGGTCCTTAGCTCATCAATTTCACAGTCCCTAATAAAGTATAAAGAATAACTGAATAGCAGGCTCATCTGCAGAGTTATGTCTCAGGAATAATATAATTTAGTGCAGAGAAACTCTAAAAAGATCAGTTTTACAACTTAAATGTAACCTGCTTATTGGTTACATGTTGTCATGACACACAGCCAAAAAACAGAGTTGAAGGACAGAAAGATTCACCTGTGTTGCAGTCTTTCCACATTCTCCCTCAGCCTGGCTCGTAGATGTCGTATGCACACCTCCTTCTGTTGCAGGGGTGTAAGGTACTGCTCCGGGGTAGGGGGCCTGATCCCATGGTTGTCACTACAGGCCGTGTGCTTCACCTGACGCCTTAATCATCACACATGTAGAGTATGGGGGGAAAAAACGCCTTATAGCAAACCAAAAGCCCTGTAATAAACCCTTAGTGAAGCTAATAACAGTCAGTTTTTGTGTTTACTAGTTGACAAGGTAAACAAAAAAAAAAGATAAAGATAAATAAAATACCCCAGAATTAATGGGAAAAGAATGTTTGTTTATACAGTGTCCATCTGTCAGACACTGTCTTCCAGAGTATTTCACAAAGCAAAATTACTGTTAGCCAGGTTGCTTCTAAACACCGTGCAAAAACGTCTCTGAACATTTATTAATAAATAGCAATAATCAACAGTTATGACAAATGGACTCCTACTATATTCCAAGTTTAGTTTTACAAATTCACATTCAAAATATTAGAAACTATAGCTAAATATTTCTCACAGGTGAGCTGACAGGCTTCTTTGTTGCAAAGAAATTTTTAAAATTACTCCCTTATGGTGCAACGCTGGTTGTAGTTTCTGGACTTAACTACACAAAAAATGGCAAAACGTAATTCACTACTTGAATCACTATGAAAAGTATGAATGTAGCTGAACTACCAGCAAACTACTGCAAAAGGTAGTTATGCTGCTACTTTAACTACATGTGGTTAAGTACTCCCAATCACTGTCAGCTGGAAAACATGCTAGAAGAGGTCACCGGCCCATCACAGGGGTCACATAGCTCAGTGACACCTGCCGCACAGTTGTGTTCACCTGACCTCAGTGTCTTTAGACTGTGTGAGGAAGGAAAGAAGCTCAACCAATAAAGATGGAGGACTGTGACACTCATCACCCTGCTTTTAACACATTGTTCCAAGAGAATTTTATGAACAGTATCTGACCTGGGTGTAGTAGGATGCGTCCGGTCTGTGGAGCTGCCCTCTGCTGCCCTCGCCCGACCAGGATATGTGTGGGTACTGGACGTATCACTGTGGGAATGTCGTGCAGTGCCACCGCTGGTGCCCACAGAGCATCTGGGAGAGAGAGAGATCAGATTAAGCTCAGTTACACTATTTGTCATAATGTAAATCACAGCAGTCACAATAGTCTACCGGATATGTCAGAAAACAGTGGTGTAACGTTGCAGCCACAGTACCTGCGCTGACCTGAGGAGGGCTTTCGACTGGGCGTGAGAGACATTGATGTGCAAGGGGCCTCCCACCTTCCCACTGCTGTCTCTAGAGATGGACGCCAGACACTCTCACAGCCTCACTGTAAAAACCATTACAGACTACAAACCCAGAAAGTCAGAATCACCAATACTCCAAAACAACAGATTTAAAATGAATCCCAGCAGAACTGCAAAGAGAAAGGATGTTTGTTCCAGAATGTTGCGTCTGGTGATTATGTGCTTCTTTACTGGAAGTCAGTAACAACAGTCTGACCCTAACCCTAATTTAAAAAAAAGTCTAGGCTGGAAGCAAATAAAGCTTCCTTTCTGTGCTGACACAAAGGGACACAGTGATTTCACAGCCAGTGCAGCTGCCTCTCTGAGCTCTGTCTGCACAGCTGCAGATACACATGATAAACCCTCAAATTAACTGGTGTCACAGGATAAAAAGAAAGAAAAACAGGGTCTCTGGGGTCACGGCACCCATTACCTGTCTGCAGGGGCAGATTCCTGTGTGCTAGCTTTACTAGGTGTTTCTGGTGTGGCCCCATAACGGCTCCTTAGGATATTCAAGAGGTCCTGTTACAAAATAATTATTTGGATCTTTCACATTTCATTTATTCAGTTAGCTGCCCTATTGCATTGTCCATTTCTTTTCCCAACAGTAAAGTTTAAATGCTGTTTGAAATCCTTCAAATCTTTGACATCCACTAATTTGCCTATTTTATGCATATTTTCTGTGCGTTCATATTTCTCTGTTCAGCACCTTTTAAACTGTCCTTTCTTTTTTCAGCACACACTCCATTATTAGCCTGACATCTCCTGTTGTGTAACGCTGTCACGAACCCAAAATGCAGGAGCATGACACAGCAGACAGTAATCTTGAGTCATACTAACTCAAAGTATTACTGTAAAACAATAAGTGTTACTCACATACAATATACAAGTGATTTTATTCCACCTATTATTTGAAACTTTAGCACCTTCATTTGGTTTTCTGAGTTTGTCTCTATATGTTACTGCTCATTGTATTTAGTCATAAACAAACTCCACACTGATGCACACAGCATATTGTACATGACCTCAGCAGCAGCTACAGCCCTGCCTAACAGTAAAAGCAGCCTAATGAAAATGTTTCAGGTACAGTAACTTTGTCACCACCCCACTTATGAATCAGCTCAGTCCACCTACAACAATCCCAGATGAGAACAAAATGTACCAGTCCAGCTAGACACCCCTCAGCCAAAATGTTCTCATCTTTCTTCCAAAGCCACTGCAGCTCTGTAGAGATTAGAGAACCTGCTGATCCAGGCCTAAAATCTACCTGCTGCTGCACAAAGCTTTGTAGCAGCTGCACACACAGCAGACCTCTGATACTGAAAAGGAGACTAAAAGGAAAGGAAGCATCGCATTTTGTCCTACATTTCTAGGACAATGAGAGATCTCACCTCCCTCTTCTGGCTGTGCAACAAGTGGCAAGTACCTTACCGGTGAGAAATACGCAATCATCTTACGTAAGCGTGACTTTTACTGTGGAGGCGAGCACGAGCGAGTAGGCGGCTAAAACTGTACTTAGGCGTTTAAAAAAAGCCACAGTGGGCTGATGAGAAAAATCAGACGGTGCGCGTGTGACGCGCTCCGTCCTCCAATAATCACTGTGGCGTTGAACTGCTGGAGTTCACACATCTGTCGCCTACAAAGCTGACAAACCTGGGGCGATGGTGAACCCAGCAGCCAGAAACGTCTCCTGATTCCTAGTTTGCACTGCCAGCTGATTGCAGGGGTCCCCAAACATGTTTAACAGCCCCGCCGCGGGTACTTTCTACAGAGGAACGCAAATTTAGTCCCAGCGTGCGTCCTACATACGCCTACTGAACAAAGATGTAACCGGCTGTCTAAATCTCAACACATGCGTTCCTGATAGCCGAAAACACCCAAAACACCGTTGACAGCCCATCTTATCAAGGCTCTGTGAAACGCTACCATTTCGCCGGGTGGAAGCCTCCGTTCCTGCCAGACTGGATGGTCGCTGAGCTGTCCCTGGTGGCCGAAGGGATGAAAAGATGCTGATGAGAGTCCATCCTGCAGCCATGGAGCCCGAGTTGAAATGAGGTAACTGCGTCTGCTGCATCGGTGCTTCTTAAAGTGACAGCAGGGGGGATGACAACCTTCATGTGGCAGGACCTCGCTGCACATTAGTGGCTTGATACCGTCTGACAGGGGAGCTATGGTTTAGAAAGCACAGGCTGAGGAGTGTCTAGCTGGACCGGTACAGTACACCATGACTGTGCAAAGAATCGTCCATTAATACAGGACACACTAAGGGCGAGGTCTGCTCTTTTATTTTAGGAATACAGGCGAAACAGAACAATGAATGCATTTATCTAAACACGACTCAATGTGAAAATCCCAAGATATTCACTTCGTAAAGGTTTCAGTTCTACATTCTCTGGCCTTTTTACCCAGTGAAGGAGGAAATGGGAGATGGGAGTGTCACTCAGCTGGAGTTTGGTACAGTCATCCCTACATCTTCTGAGCATATGGTCTGTCACTGTCACCTCACAGTGTCACGTATTCACCCATGATAGAAAAATTATTTTGCCGTCACCTGATGTGACACCAGGTGTGCTCTGAACACAGAATAAAGTGGACACAAGTCCTGACAAGTCCTAGTCTAAAAGTAAATTTACAAGTCTGATAAAGCTGTAATTTAACTAAAGTTACACCATCTGAACTAAATGCCATGTCCCAAGCCTCAGCAAAGTAAACACACACACACATACATATATAATATGTTTCATATAGATGCCAAATATTAACAGTACTCTCTGAAACAAATGTTTAAAAGAGCTGAAGAACGACGAGCAGTCCATTAACCAACAACAACTGCTCTGTAAAGCAGTGATATTCAACATTTACAACATTTACTTACAATTTATGTTACGTTTTCTTTTCTCTCTTCAAGTGACGCCTGAAGCATAACTGCTCTTCCATACAGGTCACTGAGATTCTGTCTGAAGTGAGTTTTACTTTATGAGGAACAGCAGTGTAATGCAATATCTAAAACATCGACTGAACACGCAGGAAAGCACAGTCCTGAAGGACGTCTAGAACACATACAACGAGACGCTGCTGGTTTAAAATAACAATTAAAATAAATCAATAAGTTCCAAGCATCTCGGAAATTAATTCTTAAAATATCTTAGCTATGAAAGCCACACATACTGTCAGGGACCTCCCCAATCCTCTCAGATGAGAAGTGCCAAGAACAAGCAAAAATGTGTAGAACTTTTAAAGACAAAAACATACACAGGGTTTCTGCAGGCTCACAAATTCAAACCTAAGACTCTTTAAGACCCTTTTAGTACCATATGACATTTATTATCTGTTTCACAGTTGTAAGACCCGGCAGTTTAAAAAGCAAATCCTTACGATGTAATAAAGTGAATGAGCTGAGTGAACAGCACAATGGTTGGATAATCAACAAATTATTTATTTATTTTATTTTATTTTTTTACAGCTGCAACAATTTGATCAAGTTCACTAATCATTTAGTCAATGAAAAAAAAATCTGCACCTATTGGTAATCAATTAATCATCCCTAGGTAAAAACAACTTCTTTTTTTCCCAGACTTAGATTCAAAATGTAAAGATGTGCAGCTTTCTTGGTCACATGCAATAAAAACATCCGAGTTTTGAATTGGATGAACAAAATGAAGAATAAGAAAACAGCAGGTGATATGATCAAAGATATTTGCATGAATAATTTCTGCCCTTTAATATCATCAAGGCTTTTTTTTAATTAAAATGAATGAAATGCTTTTTAAGACTGCTTTGAGAGACCTGCAGATACCCTGATACAAATGTTTGTGATCCAGCATCAAGTTAGTTTTTCTTTGCAAGCAGTTTAAAATACTGAACCTACACTTTCCAGGGGCAAAGTGATGTGTTTTACTAACTGTAGAACATAGGTCCAGGTGTGACAATGATGTCCTCATAGGGAGCTCTCTGGTCCAGGTGGATGACTTGTTGTTTTTTCAGGACAAGGAGAGAGAAGAAAGTGGTTGCAGCGTGTGAGCGAGTGCCCCCTTCACAGAGCGCCTCCAGGCTGAACATGGTGCCACTGTTGCTCTGGCTCTGCCCAACACACACACACACACACAATTAATGATTACAAATAAGTGTGCAGTAAGTTCAACATAACCTATCGCATTTAGCTTTTACAAAATCTTGATCAGAAATTCTTATCCAGATGTAAAACAAGCCACAAATAAACACCACACATACAAAGTACACATGTTATACTGTTACTTAAACTGTATAATACTAATAATAATCACCATCATCAGTGTCATCAGTATCAGTCTACTACTAGCCTACAAAGCACTAAAGTGACTACATCAAAACAGTTTGGTCCCAGATGTGACTTTTTTCCATCCAGTGTGACACACAAGATGCACGTCTCTCTCACACATGCCTATCTTATGGTAAGGTCATTTAAAACAATTTGCAGATAATACATATTATTACTTTTAAGTTACGTTGTTAAAGAACTGGTGCCACCAAATCTGGCACTGGTGCTACCTTCTGAGAGCCATGGTGCCACCAGTGCCACCAGTGTGACATGTTAGTCTGAAGCCCTGTGGTGTGGTCAGTGCTACTGTGATTTTAATATCTGAACATTTATTTCTAGGTTCTTACTTTTAGAGTGTTCAGAAGATTCACTGCTCGCCTGGTGACTCGCCTCTCTTCAGAGTCCTGGCTATTCAGCATAGGCTGGCAGTTGAAAAAGACCGTATTTCAGTCAGGGATGCCAAGCACATGTCCAGTGCAGCATTAGAAACAAACACCTGCCACCTGTCAAACTCTGACAGACTGTAGCTTGTCTACACTAACATCCATTATTATCTCGCTTTCAGTCCAAAGCTAAAGTAAGGCCAGTGAAATCTAGAGTCCGACAGAGTACAGCTCTGTTTCTATTTGTACCTGTGTGTTCGTAGGCACCTGACTGTGGAAGGCGGTTGACAGAGTCTCCTGCTCCATGTGAGATGGGTGGACAAACATGGAGTCTTCTGATGGAAGCCCTGGATGAGTGAACTCTGACCCGTTTCCTTCCTGGCAGAGACAGCACAGATTATAATCCAAGACCAAAAACAGCATCATGAATTATCATTACATCTTTTTAACATATATCTTCTTGTCACCATAAATACTGTACTTACTTCTGTGAGCTCTAAATAATTCACAAGCTGGTTTTTGTCCATTTCGTCAGGAATTGTCAGCTCAGTGTTGTGTGTTTTTTCAGCAGCAAATGATGAATCTGTGACACTAACAGTGTCTGTGGTGAGGGCACTTAAATCCCTCTGAGCTATACAAGACACAGTAATGCAGATCATATGAAATAAAGGGCAGAACAGTAAGACTGCAGTTCAGAGAAATGGTAGCTCATGAATATCCAAGTTTCTACCTTCTCGTTCTTCCTGGCGCATCAGCTCAACCTCGTCACAAACACCGTGATATTTCGCCCAGAAAATACTCGTAGCAAAAAGCTGCAAAGACAAAATTCAATTTAACAGTAATTTGAACTTATTTTTCACTACTGATGGATTAAGTATGATAAAGCCAACACTGCAGAGACTTTTTTTTACCTCCTTTATCTGTGGAGTTACTATAGTGGAACATGGTTGTGCCAACAGTTTGAATGCAGCTCCACTGTCTTTCCATTGCATGAGCTGCACAGTGGGTGGGGCCATGTCCAAAGGGATGACCAGGTCTGAATAGTCTGAAAGCTGCTCTGTGATGAATTTGTTAGTCAGCTCTTTAGTCTGGTCCACAACCAACCTGCGTTTCCTGTTTCCTTTCTTCCTCTCTGAGTTTGCTGAAGAGAAACAGCAGAAAGTTGTAAGAATGCTTGTTTTAAGTACAAAAAGCAGCACGATATCGGTGTAACACCAGTTTGATTCATCTGGCATAGCAATGTGAGTGGCTGTGTCTTAATTTCTCTCCATCTCATGCACTATGTTCTTCACCAACAAAGAACGTTCAGAAACATGGGAATGTTCCGGTTTGTAAAGACAGTGAGGTGCAGTTTCAGTCTTGTGCATCGTGCAGCACATTTGTGAGTTGAAGGAACAGAGTCTTAGAGGAGTTTGTGCGTACGAGTGATGGTCACAGGTTCAAGTGCAAAGGCCTCTGCCTCATTAGCAAGAAGGGCGGTCTCATTCAGCGTGGGGGTCGCTACCTCCATAGAAACACATCTGTCATCATCTGGAAAACAGAGTTTTAAAATATCTTTGAATCCAAATACACTCCCTTGATGACCAGCTCAACAGCACTATCCACTGTGCTGCTGGTACCATTAAACAAATTCATCATGTACACAAACAGCACCAGCTTAAACATAAAACACAGGTACAGCACTAACCATTACTGAAGTACTATCTACTATTACAATTATCTTGGCCAGGTGCCCCTTGAAAAAGAGTTTTTTTTTTATCTCAATGGGGTTTGACCTGGTAAAATAAAGATGAAATAAAATTAAATACTACTACTAAAAACTGTTCAAATGAAAGCTCTTTAACTTGACAATGGAATCTGGATACAGGCTGTAAATAACCATAAAATATTAATATAGCTGGTTTTGTAATCACCTTGTTGAGAGGTTGGTGTACTGATCTCTGTATTCTCACTCTGGGGCTCTTCCTGAACGAAGTTGGTGGACTCGATATTATCACTGGAGTTTGTCAGAAAGTCTACAATGTAAATAAAAGAACAAGAATTAGTCACTCATAATACTGCCTGAACTTCTTTTTTTTACTGGAATAGATTAAGATTGTTTTAGTATTTGAACATAATCTGTCTCAGGTGAGATTTTGTTGCAACAAACCACACCACTAATGAACGAGTACAGAGAAAACTCTCTTTTCTATTGGGTTATCATAAATCGATACTGATCCTTGAACAACAGACTGAATTTATGCTTCTTCAATAAATTATACAGGCTATAAGCCTCAAAAAGACCAAACCTACTGGTGTGCTTGAGCAATCCCTGTCAATGTCTGAAGCCAAATATGTCACAGTTTATGACCAGGACAGTGCCCCTAAACTGCTGACAAAGCACAAACATCACTGGGAAACTAGGGCAAGTCAAGGATCCCCGTTATATGAGTTTATAGTCTGAGTTGTGACACTTCACTGAAACACATAACAGATGGCTGGAACAGACTGCCAGATTAATGATACTGTATATGTAAATGTCACTTTCCTTTAAGGCCTTCTGTGCCACAACATATTAGGCTCCTAACAGGAACCAATTGTGAAAAATTCCTTTTCAGCATGTCATGACATAAATGGACAACAGATGCTGATTTCAGAATAAACTGGGATGAGGCAATGCAGTGTGCTGGCTTTAATCAAGTCAATCCCTCCAAGGTCTGAGATACCTATTATACCTATTAGTGTGTATGTATACGGACATTATAGCATCATGTTGACCAATAACCCTACACTGAGAAACTAGTCTGTTTTCTCTTATTCAAGCTTCAGACAATGTGTAAAAATGACATCAACAGATTAATGTTTAAATCAGTTGTGACATATTATAATAACAGTGTAAATGAAGTCTCCTGTGGTATTGAATTTACAGAAAATTACCACTGGACTCTGCAATCTCACACTATAAAGCTGCATAAAACTACAGAGTTATATGGTGAGCTACACCTAACCGTTTCTGGCCATCACCTTACTGGTTCATAGCACAGTTTTTCTCCACAGCAGGCAGTTGTTTCAGAGAGAAAACCCTCCACCCTACACTATCAGCTCAGCGCCAAACAACAGGCAGACACAGCTAGCGACAAGCTGGTGAACATAATGGAGCATTCAGCAGCCAAAGAGACGGACAGTTCCCTCTTCAGATAAAAGACAGTGAATGGTGAACTTACATTCAATAAATGACATCGTTGCTCCTTAACTGCTGTGCAATACTGTATATCACTTTAAAGGGTGATATGACAATGTTGTGTTGTTTCTACAGCCCCCAGTTGAACAAAAAATAAGTTACAGCTGTTCTGTCATTACAGCCCTGTAGTTGGTGACTGGTACTGATTTGGCAAAACGTACGGATGTTTTTGAATGTTCTTTAGGATGAAAATATGGCAAAAATGGATGTTTAAAAAAAAAACTACCAAGTAAGTCGAGTCCTCTGTCCTCATCACCAAACATATCTTCATTTTGAGTCAGGCTATGGAAGCTCATATCCAGTAGTGCATCGTGGTGGCTCTGGGATTCACCTTCTACTGATCAGAACACACAACAAGGTGGAAGAAATTGGCAAAAGACAGTATGAAATGTCTGCTCTGCACAGAAAATCATACTTTCAAGGAGAGGGACGATGAGGTTGAGTCTCTTTGCTACTTGCAAAAAAAAAAAAATTCCACAAAAAGACCAAAACTAGCATTATTAATCTGTCTCTTGAACATGTGTGGTACTCAGCCACACGCTCTCCTGCTGCAGGTGCAAATCTTAAAAAAATGGGTCACAAATTTCATTTCTAAACAGTGTAAGAAAGCTGTACATTTCTATAAAAGCTGAGGACTGTAGTTCTTAGTTAATGTTACTCAATCGGGAGTAGATAGTGTTGTGAACTACTTTCAGCTGTGGATTTGGTCTGCTAGCATGTATTTACTGCAACAGTGCCTAAGTTCATCACAATAAAGAATTGTGTCGTCCAGTGTGATGCTGTGGCTCATTTGGGTTTTTAAAAAGGTTCTGCTCTAACAAGGCAAAGGGCAATAAAACACCAAATCAGGCAACAACATGAGAACAAAGTGGTTCTTACCAATTTCTGCCAAGTTCAGAAAGTTATTTCCAAAATTCTCTTTTAGAGTGATTTCCTCTGATCGACACCGATTCAGTGAAAAGTGATCCATGACCTCTATGTTACTGATGTCCCAGTTCAAAGAAAACAGAGTGTGGACACAGACAGAATACATATTCGTTAGGCTGAAATAAACAAGTAAACAAAAGTGTAAGTCCTGTTTCCAGAAGATTGTAACATCAAGGACAGGTTTCAATTATCAGCATTTGAGAAGAATAACATGTTTTTTTATATGTGACTCAAAGTTTTCAGTAACCTTTGTAATTAAATCTGACTGTGCCCTTTAAAAAGCAAAGTGACATGTGTCAATGACAACTACAGTAAATATCAGGTTGTCAAAGAACAGAAGGCAACTGTACCTTAGTGGAGGCAGCTGGGCATCGAAGGCAGTGAAATCTTCCATCAAAGTAATTGCTTTATGTGTTGCCTCTAGCTCCTCCATAGGCATATCTGTTTGATCTGGCGTGTGGAGAAATAAACAGAGGAAATAATACAAACATGTACTGCATTTAGAAGCAGAAGAGATAGAAACAGCATCCAATACAGGAACAGCAGTTTTCCACTAGAGGAACTTAGGTACGCTTGTCCCTGGTTCGGCATTTGTTTCCACTATCTACCCTCCACTTTGGAGGTGCATTCCTGGTGTCATCACCCGTCAGAAGGTAGAACTGAAATCAAGTTTTGTTGCACTAAGGTGAAATTTTGATCCTTGACTCACATGCTCAGCTAAGTGCGTGTGTGTGTGAGGAGCACAGCCCCGTCCTTGTCTAAATAGCCATCAAATTATGCCGGGTGATGGTCAATGGAAGCACAGGTTGTATAGCTCATGAGGTTCCAACAGTGGAAATACAGCTTAATGAACATGCAAACAAAAAAAAAGAAAAAATATATAGCCAGTGGGCTATTATTTTCAGTTACTAAAAGATTATGTGAAGCAGACCACAAAAATCTAGTCATGCTGTCCAATCCCACAGTCCAACAGTAACATGTTCAGTTTTTAATTAATCTGTTACAGAGAGGTGTTGATTCAACTGTATGATTATTTTGAAGGCTGTAGTTTGCATTGGTGTTGAATTATACTGCATTGTGCAGACAGGTGTTTCTCTTATTTGGCCTAGCCTCATTAATATACTGTAAATAAGACAAACAAAATAATACAAATGACCCTCAGTATAACAAACTAAACAAAAGCAGCCGTATTTGTATTTTTCCCTTCAGTGAATTCTTCCACTTGACCAAAGTTGTTACTTCCCTATCTTCACACAGCCACTCCAATGCAACCACAGCTGTGTCCCTGATTTCAAATACTTGACATTGACAAATTAAACAGGAAGTGTTACCTGGCCTGAATGCCATTTTAATTTTAACCAGGGCATCACTACAGTCCGCAAGGAGATACTTTGTTTTTCTGGCGTAGATCCTGACCACACCAAGAAGCAGATGACCAGACGTCCTCAAACCAATCTTCATCTGCAAAGATAGCAATTACACATCTCAGATATGATTGTAGATATAAATTAGGTGTAGAACACTTTATGGAATGCACAGTTGTTGTTGTTTTTTTTTTACAAGACATTTTACCTTTGGTGAAATGATGTCGATGAAGGCTGTAGTTTGCATTGGTGTTGAATTATACTGCATTGTGCAGACAGGTGTTTCTCTTATTTGGCCTAGCCTCATTAATATACTGTAAATAAGACAAACAAAATAATACAAATGACCCTCAGCATAACAAACTAAACAAAAGCAGCCGTATTTGTATTTTTCCCTTCAGTGAATTCTTCCACTTGACCAAAGTTGTTACTTCCCTATCTTCACACAGCCACTCCAATGCAACCACAGCTGTGTCCCTGATTTCAAATACTTGACATTGACAAATTAAACAGGAAGTGTTACCTGGCCTGAATGCCATTTTAATTTTAACCAGGGCATCACTACAGTCCGCAAGGAGATACTTTGTTTTTCTGGCGTAGATCCTGACCACACCAAGAAGCAGATGACCAGACGTCCTCAAACCAATCTTCATCTGCAAAGATAGCAATTACACATCTCAGATATGATTGTAGATATAAATTAGGTGTAGAACACTTTATGGAATGCACAGTTGTTGTTGTTTTTTTTTTACAAGAAATTTTACCTTTGGTGAAATGATGTCGATGACGGTTGTTTCCAAATTGCATTCAAATACATGGGTCTTTGTGAGTTTCTTTTCCATGTGCGCAGCTAACCAAATTTTGGCTAGAGATCCGCGCTTGGACGTGAAGAGTTGCGTGTAGAAAATCATGTAGGTCGGCTAGCGGTCACCTGTAACCACACAATTATTTTCTTAAAAGCTCTATAGTGTGACAGCCAACTATAGTAATAAATAACAACAGAGAGTAGTCGCAGCAGCTTAGTGCCCATGAAATCTTAGAGTCCAAGTCTGGCTAGCTACGTTTGCTACAAGGTAAACAGTATGTAGCTGTAGTTCTAGAACAGGATAGGTTTTCACATGTAATGTTAGCTAAACAGAGCAGCATCTATTTTAATACAGCTCGCAATGTCAGTAGTATTACTTCCATAACTGGTAATTTAACTAATTCTACACATATACCAAACTAGACCGGCATTAGTACATCTTACCTTAACTTTGAAAGTGCGCGCTTTTACGTTCAGAGCGCGCGCATCAGCGCGAGGGATTATCAAGCCGCTGCGTTGCCAGGTTTGAGTGATAAAACGTAACCCACACAGAAACCAGAACTCGCCCTTTTTTAAACATTAGCTTTGAAAGCTATTTTTCCCAGTTCTCTTAACCAGGAACTCAGAGAGACGAGGCGGTCCAAGTGGATACAAAAAACTGTGCTGGTTTATTCAAAGGATCACAGGTAAAATTAACATTACACGTCCAGGTATCTTCCACCATCTGAGCGGAACTTGGCTGTGGGATTACATCAGTTTGCAGCACTCTGAAGCCAGCTGTCTGTTCTCCACCACAGCATATGAAGCTATCAAACCACCTGTTTCAGTCTGATGGCTGTGTCCATCACAGTACAGGTTTACCTCTGCATAAGGTAGCTGTTCCTTATGCAGGTTTTCATGTAATCTCATTTCAATGTGTGTTCTGCTCACACAGTCATGGTCCTGGTCTGTGACCATCTGTGTAGCCATGTTTGTTCCTTCACTTGTGAAGTGGATGTGAGTTTGGTTAAGTAACTGTTGTAAGTTTTGGGTCCTCTGTGCCGACAGTGTGAATGCTTTAGA